GCAAAATACGGTATATATATATATATATATATATCATCTTTTTAAAAATCATACATTAAAACAGGGATGCACAAATCCCAGGACCTCCGTAGGTTCCTTAAAAATTACAGCTGCCTCCTAACTTGAATTTTTCTCTAGTCTAGTCTTGGAGCTGGAAAAGTATCTGTACATGTACTTGTAGTTGTACCGAGTACGGTACTTGGTATCTGAACATCCCTAGTTTCAGGAATAAAAATATAACAGGAAGCCACATTTGCTATTATTTTTCTATGTGCTTGTGATAAGTGTCTGCCAGCACTCTTCCTCCCCCTCTCCATTGACATACTGCAAATAGGTCCATTTCTGTTCAAAAAGACTTTTGATGGAATAGGTGCCAGAGGGTTGTTGGATTATACCTGGACATTCTAAAAAATTAAAAGATGCTATGTTCTCATCATTCCAGAGAAACTTACTTAGGGAACTGCTATTAAAAGCGGGTACAAAACACATGCTACTATTGAAAATCCTATGTAAAATGTTCTACAAGAGGACCCTAAAATCATATAATAAACTATATCTAGATTTATAATGCAGTACATGTTGAAATAAGCTATATGCTAAAAAAATAATAAATAAGCAATATATCCAGGTAGAATATTCTACCTGATTGAATATGTTATTATTACAGAAATACAAACAAACATAAAAGTAGCATACACCTCTTAAAGCGGACCTTTACCCATATCTTTAAAATAACAACAAACACACCTTTTAGAAATGTTTAGTAATGACAATCTACAAACACATGCTTCTAGATAATTGCCGGCTTTATATTCTTTGCATTCCTTATTTCTCTTTTCTTTACTAGTCTTTTGACAGTGGCCATGATTTTTAGCTCTCCTATGACCTCCTGGGTTTCTGGCACATGTGATTAGACATGTGACTAGGACATGTGACCATGCACATTATCTCAGGGGAGGAAAATGCCTTTCCCTGAGATCTCCTGAGATTACAGATGAGATTTCCCAGCAATGCTCTGCTGATGACAAAGCAATCCCAGTCAGGGGCGTCCCGAGGCTGGGTGACACCCGGAGCGGTAACCGAGTGTCACCTCGCCGAGACGTCACTGCGCATGCGCGTGACGTCACCACGCGCGTGCGCGATGACGTTATCGCGCACGTGCAGCAGTATTCTGATACCTGCCGGTGGCCATCTTGGTGATGGACGCCGGCAGAGAGAGGAGGGGACAGTCACCGGCGGGATAAGGTATGCCGCCGGGGCCCCCCCTCTCTCCTGATACTGTCGGGCGTTCGGTCCATGACCGAGCGCCCGAGTTTTCAGAGGGGGTGACACCAAAATGACTGTGAGTCATTTTGGTGTCACCCCTCCAATGGTGTCACCCGGGTGCGGTGTCACCCCCCGCACCCCCCTTGTGACGCCACTGATCCCAGTGTGCATTGCTTTGCCAAACTGAAGTCATTTTGCCCTTTCAAAGCAGGAAGTGAATGCTCTGCAAGTGTAAGTATTTCATAATCGCAGCATTTTACACCTGACATGTCTATGTTCTTTTTAATCATCATACATAGACGGATGCATTGGTAGAATTTGATTATTGAGTGTAAAGGTCTGCTTTAACACTTAACCTATATTTACACTGCAGATTAAAATAAATGGTGACGTTCTGCTTTAATTATTTTGGACTATTTCCATGATAATACAGTGGATTCTGAACACATCCACTTATTCCCCAGTAGCTTTGATCACTGTTTTTTTTTTTTTTATCTCTCAGACCTTCCTGCAGTGACATGCAGATGAGAAATGGAACCAACAAACAAATGCTGGAGATTTGAACTTTTCTGCATCCTAGTAACTGTTGGAGTTCTGTTGGCCTCAAAAACAGAAAGTGTTTACATACAGAGAGGGCAATTTATCAAAACTGGAGCAGACAAAACCTGGAGCAGGTGTGCATGGTAATTATTCAGCTTCTCTCTTTCAGGCCCCGTTCACATTGCGCGATTCGCAAATCGCGCGTTTGTCAGGCGATTTGCATTTTGCGCGATATCGCACAAATGCTTGCATTGAGCAAGCGAGATCGCTGCAAAATCCGCTCCAAAAAGGGTCCTGCTGTAGCGACACACGACCCGCGACAGCAGGACCCTTTGCCCCATTGAGATGCATTGAAGAGCGATATCGCGCGGTAAATAGCTGCGATATCGCGGGAATTACCGTGCGATAAATCGCTCAATGTGAACGGGGCCTGATTTTCAAATCTTAACTGAACAAACTGAAGAAAGATGCTGATTGGTTGCCATGGGCAACTGCTCCAGATTTTGTCTGCTCCAGTTTTGATAAATTCCCCTCAGAGAGTTTTCAAAGGGACCAGCAAAAATAGGAATTAGAAGGTCAAACTGACATTTTAAATGATATCATAGCTGATTTCATTTTTTGTTGTTTCTTTGGCAGTTTAAAATTTTCCATAGACCTGGCTACTGATTTACAATATCCGATTCCAGAATTGTGGAAGGAAGTGGCAAGTAAAATCAAACTGCCTTTTGATACCACAATCAACTACCACCCTGAGTATGACACGTATACAGTAGGTAATTGAAGTTGTATAAAATAAATTCACCATGGTAGAGCCTATTCAGTCATACGGATGTGGTTTGTATAACTGAGTATGTCATTTTCTGGAAAGAAAGGGGATGGAGATTTTACACATATAAGAATATTGTTTATTCCTTTTATTTTGTAAATACTCAGTTTACATAATAAAACATGTATTGCTTACTCTTCCATATATACATGATTGGCGTGTCACACAAAAATTTGTAGATTCCTTCTCTAATGGCTGCCACTATGTAAGACAATGCAAGAGCATCTTGGAACAACAGCTGCTGGGACAAAATCTGTTAGTCGGTTCTTGATGTGTACTGAAATAAGAAGAGCAGTTACTTTGTCTTTGTCTGTATTCAACCTCAAATACTATGTAACTATGTAACTATGTACAATCTGCTCTATATTAGGCTGGTACTGGTAGGGGTGCCTCGGTTATGATTTTACCCAATTCACAGGAAATGGCTGAAATTCTAACAGTGTATGGCCAGCTTTATACCTGATAAAGCTGGGTGGGAAATTGTCACTGCAGCCAGTCACTGAGTATTCTGACAGAGGCAGGTGCTGGCCATCAGAATACAGGGTGGAGATTCCTCCAGCCATACTGTTTAGCATGGATGGGGAAGTCAAGCGGTATAACAAGTTATACATGTATGGCCAGCTTGAAGGTGTACTCTTCAAGAGCTCTTCAAGCTCTTCAAGGATTTTGAAAGTTAAGCCTTGCAGTGGGGCTACCCCTGCATTGCAAGGGTTAACTGCTTGCTTTGTCAAGGGAGCGAAAATAAAGAAAACATACTTAGGCAATCCTTGGCCCCCCCCTGGCTGCTAGACTGGTCCCTGAAGCTTTTTTTTTTTCCCCGGGGAGGATCCATGATGCCACCATGTCTATTCAGGTATATTAGATGTGAGAACGCTGAGGGACATACCACAGCCGGAGCAGAGGGGGAGAGAGATGAACACTCATCGCCTTAGGCTCTTAGGCAAGTGTTGCAGCAGCACATGGGAGAGTCGGAGAGCGTCTCTCTCATGCAAAGCTGTGGCCCCTCTCTCCAGAACACCAACACACCCCCAAACACTGCTTTAATCAACAGTGCTGCTCAGGGACCTTAGTCCAGCACTAACCCTAATTTCCTGATCAGGAAATAAAGAAGCAGTGGCACAAGGAGTTCATCCCTATGTTCTCTATCCCTGCAAGTATGTGCAGACAGCACAGGACAAAGCAGAGTCCTGCTTAGATCAGAGAGACAAAGACATTTTCAGCTACTTATACTAGTTGTATTTTAAAATACATGTAATATTTCAAGGGGATACATAACTAAGTGGTGTTTTGTTTTTCCTGATTGTTGCTGTTATGTATTTTAAAGGGTGACTGAATGCGGAATTATTACTCCAGGAAAGCTCCACCTGCCACCGCCTTATCAATAATCATTGATTCATTATCTATACCCATTTCAGATGCATAAGCGTGAGGGACATTATGGGAATATTATTTGAAATACAAATACTTTACCTTTTTATTTCATCTAATGAACTATTTTTATATTCTGCATATTTGTTTTTACAGGTGAGAAGGTGAAACAAGCAGACGTGGTCATGCTTGGATATCCTCTGATGGTTCAAATGACTTCTGAACAACGCAGAAATGACCTTCTAATTTATGACATGGTCACCGATCCTGATGGCCCTGCTATGACTTGGGTAATATTAGTTTATTATTTTACAGTTTAGTTTATTGTCACCGGATGAATGATTTTAGGTAAAAGATAACTAGAATGAAAAGTGTTGTATTCTGATAACTGTTTGGGGTTACTACTTGTAATCTTAAGGGGCTATTCACAGAGGAGCCGAAGGATCCAGTCATAGCTTCGGCTGATCCTTCGGCTCTCTTTGGCCGCCTGAACTGTACGGGGCTGCTGTACGGGCTATTCGTAATAGCCCTACAGCACCCGAAGGCGGCTGAGCGACTCAGCCGAGTCGAAAGCATTTACTTCGACTCGACTAAGCAGAAGTGTCAGCCGAAGCGGAGCGAACAGCCTGCTGAAGGCCAGCCCTTCACCCCGCAAAGGACAGCTGGGTCTGAGCCAGATATGATCTCATGGCTGGCTCCGCCCAGTTGTAATGACAGATCAGCGTCCCCAAATAACCTGGGGACGCTGATCTGTCATTAAACAATACAAACTGGGTGGACGCCAGCAGTGATGTCACGGCCAGCTCTGCCCAATTGTTATTCATTAACCGGGACCTGCTAGAAGACTCTAACAGGTGCCGGCCAATAGAAAACAGTTGGGCGGAGCTAGCGGTCACTGTTAGCTCCGTCCAATTGTTTTTTTTTTTTTTTTTAATTGAATATTTATTTACATTTTAAAAAAAAATGCAACTTTTTTTTTTTTCTTTTAATTTTTTTCATTGATTTTCTATTCTGCTCGGTTCCATGGAGGTACTGAGCAGAATAGCCGAGCCGAATGTCGCTCCACGGCATTCGGCTATTCATTTACTGCCAGAGTGAGCTTCCAGAGCTTCGGGGTCAACCGATCCAGATGTTGGATCGGCTGAGTCGAAGTCCCTCTGCACTTGGGCTCAGTCGAACATGCAGAGCATGTTCAGCAGCCTGAAGTGCAGCCGAAGGCAGCCGATGTACGACTGATTTCAGCGGGTGTAACGTTATTCGGCTCACTTCACTTCGGCTGGGTTATTCACTCGGCTGCCTTGGCAGCTTTGTGATTAACCTCCAAAGTATTGAGCACACAACTTCCTTTTTTTAAGTTACAAGCTTCTGCGTATGTAAATGCTGGGAAAAGGGGCCATTAACCCTTTTAAAAGTGAACACATGTAATGTAATGTGTGTCTCTGTCCGCTGATACACATTGCACAAATTCAGTCTACCACGCATACACAGCAATTCCATTGGTAAATGGTTCACACCACTGTGTTCAGTTCATTTTTCAAAAAAAGTAGAGCATGCTGTATTTTTTCTGGTCTGCAAACGCACTAGAACACACTGCAATGTGTAAAAACCAAGCAAAACCAGTTGAGAAGAAAAAAAATGTACTGGAACACATCAAAAACTTGCATGACCGCATTTGCAGAAACGCATACAGATCTGGTCTGGAGATAGTGTGAACAAGCCCTCTCTCTAAACGCAGTTCCTGCCCATAGAGGCCCCATTCACACTGAGCGATTTATCAAGCGATTTTTGCAGCGATATCGCTCATATTTCCACGCGATCAGTGGCTTTCGAGCGATTTCGAGCGATATTGCTCCTGATTGCATACAGCCCAATAGGAAAAAGTTGCGCGATGTCGCGCGACAAGTTGCTCAATATCGCTCGTCGCGCAATATCGCTCAAAATCGCGCGATTTTCATGTCGCTCAGTGTGAATGGGGCCAGAGAGTGGGCACATAACAGCCCCACTGTGGCTTTGTTCCATTGCAGGAGTCAGTGGGATCCTGGAATAGCTGAGAGGCATAGGATAGAGAAGGCTGGGGAAAAGTTTAGGTGAGCTTTCACTATGATTTTAAGCATTTTTGGTAAATGTCAGCATTTTTAATTGTTGATTATTGTTAAAATGTATGTCAAGCCAAAAAATTTTTTCTAGTTATGGGTAGAGCAGAAAAAATTAGAACTCCTTTTGGGTTTTTACTGCTATTCGGGACACAGCTAGAAAGTTTTACCTTCACTTGCTGTCTAGTGAAACCGTAGTCAGGAACTCAGACTGAAAACAATCTCGCAGTTCTAGCCTCTCCTAAAGAGAGGCATTTTTATTTCCGTCTGCGTTGCTGTTGGAGAGTTACCCTCACTTCCTGTCTGGTAAAACATTGTAAGCAGGACAGTAAGTGAGGGTAAATCTTCCGAACAGAGCCCCGGGTAGCAGTAGAAACCGGGCAGGGGTTCTTACCTTTTCCCAATGTATGCAAAACTGGAGAGAAAAAAAACGACTGGTGATACACTTTAAAGTTTTAAGGTTATTGCATTTCAAATAATACTATACGTTCTTTTTCAGAGTATGTTTTCAGTTGGTTTTATGGAACTAAAACAGATTGAAGCTGCTCAACGACAATTGAAGAAATGCTTTGCAAACATAACTGAACCTTTTAAGGTGAGATTTTATTGTTGGGTGTATGTCATGCAGCAACTTAATAACATTTTTGGGTCACTGAAGCCATAGCTTCACTGTAAGTGGCTTTACTGCCCATTCACTAGGATGCAGCCCAGGAGTTGAGTGAATAGCTTTAGGGCTAGTTCACACCAGATGTAGTTGTGATGCAGTCCGTTCAGTTTGGCAGCTGCATCAAAATCGTGTCACAATGCTTTCCAATGGGATTTCTGGTGCTCTGTTCACACCAGTGCAATCCGTTCCGATGCAGTCAGAAAAAATCCTGCTTGCCACATTTTAGCTGTACCTTTGTCGCAACAGAACGCATCAAAAATGCATACAAACGCATGCAAATACACTGAAACGCACTGAACTGGACCTGAAAGCTCATTTTAACCACTTGCCGTCCGCCCGTAGTAAAAAAACGGACGGACGGCACTGCAGCATTTGCGGGTTGCCGTCTCCAGACGGCAATTTTTTTCTGCTCGCGCCCCCTAGCGAGCACGCACGGGCAGAAAAGACCCGACCATTGCACACACCCGTTACCGGGTGTTTCACATATAGGCGATTAGCGGCTCCATAGCCCGCCGATCGTCTATATGT